TCTGCGACCTCCGGCGCCTGAGTCGCCTGCGGTACCTGGCCCGTTACCGGGCCTGGCAGGCCGGGAGAGTTCTAAACCTCTCCCGGTCCTGCTCCGCGGTCTCCTTCGCGAGCATAACTTGCTCGCAGAAGGAGACGGCAGAGTTCCACGCAGCCCCTGGCGAGTATAGGCCTCCGCCAACAGTTTCTAGGTTTTTCTCGACTTTTTTTTTTATATTGTACCACATTCACACAACGCTATCTAGTCCCAAACTAAGCAGAGCTTGTACTATGGGTACTAGACAACTGATATAAATACATATATACTTTTTTTTTGTTTTTTGTAAATACATACTTATTATACATAGAAACACCCAGACCAAACCTTTGCTTTCTTAATCCAGTCATTTCCAGCATATTTCTTTATTTCCTCTACCTAGCGTTACCTACCTACGCACGGCCTCAAGCTCTCTTGCCACCATGGCCTGCCCAATTTGTAACTAGGTGCGTCCATCTTTCATCTGTCAATCGAGCTACGTGGCCAGCTCATTTCCACTTAAGCTTTTTCATGTGTTGTAGAGCATCTATTACGTTAGTAAATGTGTACATATTAAAAATAAATTACACCCAGACACAGAAACAAATGATGTATTCATCACACAATATTTATCCAGGATTCGATTGGAATCGAACCCACCACAGTACACTTGCTTAACAGAAAGGATGAGTAACCACTTATACTAACAAGGCAGACAATCTACAAAACATAAAAGTACCTTACTACCTACATATATTTAAAAGAAAAACAAATTCCGAATAAACTGTAGGTTCCTAAATAAACTTCACTTCAATAAGTCGAAGAGCAATAAGCCGATAGAAGCCAAGTCCGATAAATATCTAATAACGATGGTGGGGAAACCAATAATGTCAGCAAATAGGGAACGAATAAGGGTCGACCCTTCACCATAGGCATTGAGAGTCTATTAGTAAATCGTCATAATAGCCCATTTCCCTCAATTGATGGCGCCTGTTACTCCTAACATATTGCTCGTGATAATATGAAGGCGGTGAATGCCTAAAGTTATTGTTTTATTTGAATGAGACAGTTTCCATTACATTTTACTGAAATCTTTTAGCTTATAGACTTAGTCTTCAATATTATGATTTTCATTTGATATATTTAATTATTTATTTATTTATAACTTTTTGCACAAGTACATGCATCGGCGGACTTAATGCCTAAGGCATTCTCTGCCAGTCGACCGCTAGATTTAATATAACTGTATGTATATTATTTTGTATTTAAAAATAAATTTGTAGTAGCTGCTTTGCACGCACAGAGTGGTTTGATTAGGTCTAGTTAGGTAAAACCGGTGTGTGTCGAGCCACGCTTAATGGAGGGTTCCGTAGTTACCTATCACAATAATACGAACTAATGCGAGGGAATCTGTGCTTTGCTGAGTGATTTATGGAGTCGGCGGCTCATGATGTATAAAAACGGGCCCACATAGGACCATGGTAACTAAAAAAGGAGTTATAAAATCCAGCTTAAAAAGTAAAGTTTGAAAAAATATTATCTATTTTAGTACCGATGCGTGTAGAAGCGACAGCATCACGTGTTAGTTAGAACACTGCAGTGTTGTCGTTACTTAAATAGTCTTTACTTAAATCTGCAAATACTATGCATGCGCTGTTATGCGGTAAAAAATTACTAATAGAACCTACAGCGATACCGTTATGGCATTTGCATTATCTATAAAATGCTACTATCTTCACATGGTTTACTTCTATAGCATTTATATGTATTCCGTACAAAATACCTACTCATGTATTTAATTTCACATATATTTGAATATTTTGAATAAAGGTATTACACACTATCTGTTACAATATAAAAAAGGTATAACTAAAACATAAATACGAGTAAGAGAAGGGCGTTTTGTTATTTCATATTATAAACATTTCACATGAGCGGTTTCGGCGGCCTACGAGTATAAAGTCAAATTAGTTTGTTGACTATTACTCGTAAACTAATAAAGTCTACTAAACTGTTTAGTTTAAGTTTTCCTTTTAAATCCATTAGCCCTAAGGGGCTAGGAGAGGGGGGCACCATTGATCACAACAACAATCGCTTTAAGGCTTAAAATTTCACAAACCAATACCTTAATCAAAATATTGTCTCCACAAATCCTTATTATTTTTTAAACACCTATTCTCCAACGACACCCCACATCATGGGATGGATCAACATAATAAATAATATACCCACTTTAAAAATACTAGAGGTATCCTAAGATATATTTTTTAAAGTTTGTTTTCTACTTTACATTAGTATGTACGAGTATGTTCATGCGAAATTACAGGTTTCTAGCACTAATAGTTTGTCAGATAAAGTGTGGACAGACGGACAGACATAACGAAACTGTAAGGGTCCCGTTTTTTGTAATTTTATGCTACGTAACCCTAAAAATTAGTATCAAATAGCATTATTAGTCTTCATTTTACTTTTAAACTTTACAAGCTTGTGTCAATGATAGTCATTTGTTAGCAAATTGTTTCTTGTCATGCCGTTTAGTTCGAGCCATGTTTTAGGCAGTCATAAATTATTAGATTTTCAAGGGCAAACTCTATGACTGTCGGCAATTGTGAATTTGAAACACCGGTAGATACTTAATTTATAGTTGTTTCCAGTTATATTTGATGCGATTTTAGTCGTTCGTAGTTATTTTTTAGTTACGTATTAGTGCGAATCCTTGCGATGTGTCACATTACATCACTCCTTTAATATTCCACTGCAGGGCATGGGCCTTTCCTTAGAAAGGAGGTTTTGGCCTACTATACTCCAGCTACTATATGGCCAGACGGGTTGGTTTAGGGTTTGTGTGAAGTTTTCCTTCTCTTTGCAGTGCTGTTGTCCTTCATAGTTTGCTCCCTTAGTCGGCTCTTACGACATCCACGGGATGAATAGGGGTAGTGACACTCTGTATTCTTAATCCGTCAAAACACGGATAAATCCATCACTTCACGAATAGTGTGGTACGCTAGTGTGGTACCACGCGATGTGTAAACTCTGAATGCTCCTGAATAATAGTAGCAATAAAATAATTATATAAATGTCGACATATCTGTCAATCATCACAATCATCAGGTGGCAATTTATTATTAAGGTAATAGCACAAATCTTAGTCAGTACTTCATTTCGACCATATTTACCGTTTTTGCACAAAATTGTTGTATAAACTGCAGTAATCTTTACGAACACACATTAAGGACACATTTTCCTGAAGACTTTGACTTGTATAGGAAGCAGAATTATTGTCAAGTTTGTGATGTTTTAATCTTAGAATATGACATTTTGTCAATAACATGTTTTAAGTTTAAAATTACGTGTTCTGATAAATATTAAAAACAAGAGGCCAAAGAGATCAAACGATCGTATAAACTGAATAACTTTAGTCGCGTTACCTTGGAAGGGTGAAGAAAACAATAATATTAAGGATTTCGTAGCTCTGTGAGTATTGGTTCTATAACATTTCGAATGAGTTTAAGGATTTTACTATACTTTTTTTATTGGTTCAGTGGAGCGAAATATTCGAATACTATTTCATCATCAGCCTATTGCAGTCCACTGTCCCATTGTACGATAATGTTACGTATCGAAAAAATCCTTACCAGATGGATTTTTCTTTTCAGGAAACCTGGTAACCTTGGCAGCATATTTTCAATATTTATCTGTGGTATGTGTTCCAATATGCAGTGTATCTACTAACATGTATTAATTTTACTCTACCATATTTAAATTAACTTACATTAATATATAAGTGTTCAACAGTATTTTCTTTTTTCTGACAATATTGTGACTTTCTCAAATGATGCACTGAGTTATATGTATATAGAGATATATGTACATATAATAGAGTTCGAATTCAGTTCGTCCAGTTAGTCTAAGACTCCGATGTCCGTCCGTCTGTCTGTCCATCTGTCACCAGGCTGTATCTCATGAACAGTGATAGCTAGACAGTTGAAATTTTTACAGATGGTGTATTTCTGTTACCGCTATAACAACAAATACTAAAAATAGAATAAAATAAATATTTAAGAGAATAAAACAAAAACTTGATTTTTTTTGCTCGTTTTTTCTCGATATTGATAACGGCAACAGGTAGACGCTTGAAATATTCACAGAATATTTTGTTGTATATTTACTTTAAAAATAAATAACGAAATTAAAGTAAAACAAATATTTAAGGGGGTTCCCATACAAAAAACGTGATTTTTTTGCACTCAGCCGGTTTTTTTTTTATATCAATGACAAAGTTTAAAGCTTTAATCAAACAAAATCTTTGTGTCAATTTTTAACATTCGTATATTTAATTATACTATATGAAATTAGGCACAACCAGAGATTTTGACTAACACATGATTATATAACTAAACAAACGTGATTAGCTTAAAGGTATTACACTCAAGCTATAAAAATCTACAAAAAAAGGACTATTTTTTTTGCATTTCATTGATCTGAATAATATATATCTATATATATTACTGTACTTATTGTAATATCTTCAAGATCATCGATAATTTTGTACAAACTGTTTAAATATATTTTTCCACAATTGTCATTGGATGCGGAATGGATTAGCATTGTTGTCTCACATACGAATGCTTTTAAGCTGTTTGGGTATTTTGCATTGTGAAGACTACCAGAATTTTGTACCACTTAATATAATACTTGTGAAAAATGTAATAAAATTGCTAACTAAATATGCTTATCAAACTTTTGTAGTGAGTTTAAATATAACTATTAAGTATGATTAAGAAATGTAATCTACCTAAATTTGTACTTCATTATTCCGAACAAGAATATTACTACAATCATTTTCGTATTTTGTTACAGATGATAGAGTTAATTGAGAAACGCTGTACGCGACAATGTAACCAGATACGACTCACATTTTCGAAATAAGATGAATGTACTACGACCGAAGATGAGATTGATAACAAAGGAAACAAGCGAACACAATGCATGAACAGAGCTATACATCTTTATCAAACAATGTACCTGATATAACCTCACCGATTGAAAAAGTAGTCAATTATACTATAGATAGCTACTTCGATATAGACAATCAAACCGGTAATATAACAACTCTGAATGAAGAAAATGCAGTGAACAACTGGTGGGCGTTAGCCGCATTGATGTTGGTTGTCTGCACAGCAGCAGGAAATGTATTGGTTTGCTTAGCAATATATTTAGAAAGAAGATTACAGAATGTTACAAATTATTTCTTGATGTCCTTAGCGATAACAGATTTGTTAGTGGCTATATTGGTGATGCCACTGGGGATCCTGACTTTAGTACGAGGTAAGATTATTAACCACACACATTCAGTAAAACTTATAGCTTATTACAATTTAATAAAATACGTAAGATTGTTTTGTAGAAATATCTTGTCAGGCACTTAAACTTTTTGATTAGTTTCGTGAAAACTAATTATGTCAACTGATTTATGACTGGTATTGAGAGAAAAAAAAATTGGTTGTCTGTAAAGTCGGTTTACGGACGATAACTTTAAGTGATAACGTCATAAGAAAATATTGATGAAAAATTGCATACTTTTATGAATTGAATTGAATTATTATCGTGTCTCTCTATCGCTTGTATCGCGCTCTCGCTTGCACGCTCGGCTCAGGCGAAACGTGACAATGAGTCATGCTTGTTCGTGCGTGCAGCCGGCGTTCATCCATTTATAAGACGTCATCCCGTCAAAATCATGAATAAATTCGAGGATCCAATATAAACGCAAAGAATGCAAAATGCCATTATAATCTGAAATGGTCTTCACATTAAAAATCTTTTTAAATTTTCAGTAGTAGTTAGATGTTGTAGTAAGACCATCGTCCATGACTTCAACTAGTCAATACAATTACAATAAAATATTTTTTTTGATAAAGAGAGCTTTACATTGAACCAGAAATCGTTAATTAATATCGTTTGTAAAAACTTATAGGAAAACCTTGCTAACAACATATTATGCAGATAAAATAAAAACAAATTCATACCGCAATTTGCCTACAGTCATTTTAGAAACGGCATGTAAATTAGGACGGTAGGTTATTGCAACATGATTTGAGCGTTTAACATTTTATATGCAATACTAGTGAAATACTCACTTTTAATTTTGTTATCTTCTCTAAAAACTAATTCAAAGAAATGAGAAAATCTGACTCAATTCTATAAAGGCTAAGTGGTCTTTCATCGCGGGGCTTATAGACTGAAATTCGATTACCGCTTTAATCGCCTGAAAAAAAAACCTAAGAAAAAAGAAATACGACATGAATGCACCTAAAACATTAGCATGAACTGTAATATCTCCCTCATGCATAAATAAATCATCAACAACCTTTAATAGTCCACTGCTGGACAAAGGCCTCTCCTAACAAAGGAGGTTTTAGCCTACTATACCACGCTGGCCAGACGGGTTGGTAGAGGGATTGTTTAAAGTTTTCCTTCTCTAATAAGTTACATTTGATGCATTTGCATAAATAAATATAATTTTATTTTGCTTCGATTTTCAAATTTTAATATGTAGGTATAATAAAACAATTTGTTGGACGTTAAGACTTAATGTAAAACATTTTTTTTTTATTATAACTATTTAGGTAGTATATCCATATAGGTATGTAGGTATGTATTATACCTATATAGGTATGTAGCTACTCTACTTAGTAGAGTACAAAACTTATAGCTACATACCTATATTTAGGATGTGATTGGAAGAGAAAGTATTAATTTATGGAAGGCTCTCTGCCGTCTTTAGGGTAACACTTTGATATAACAAAAAGCACCCAAATTATTTTACTACCTGTGAACAATAAAATTAACTAGGCAATTTGGTGCAGTAAATTACCTTATATAGCCTAAAATTAGATTAGTTTTTGTCTTGAAATATCAAATAGTGACACATATCTTTCAATAAAGCAAGATTCAAATAAAAACGGTTAATCAAAAACTTTTTTACGGATTATTAATTACATATATCACCTTATATTTTGGATTATTCTTACCAATTTTTGCTTACTGTGGACGCAATCAAATTTCTAAGAAAACCATAATAAATTTTATAGATGGAAGCTCTAACTTAATTTTGTTATGCACAACGTCGATTAGAGATAAGATTTCCCCAGAATTAATTTATGAGAGAAACAACGTCGTTATTAACTGATTAAAAAGGCGATGCAATTATTTTGTGGTGAAGTAGGGTTTCTTAGAGGCTTGCTACTAAATTGCTTCCGTGTAAATCAATTTGTGGGGAACATTGTTTAGAAGCTTTCGAGTGTGATGTTTGCACTTTAAGACCTCAGTACCTCTATACACACAACTGCACCACATATTGAAAATAAATTTACATATTAAACAATTACTTAGAGGAAATAAATTATACTTTAAAAACACTAAAGGCTTTAATAGTAAAAAAAACTTAGCTCTATCATCAGATCATCGAATCATTACTGAACTTAATTTATAATATCTGTCAGTATTATTGATCAATATTATTTAAATTTGTGTACAATGAAGCATATTCTGTCTATCTATTAATATCCTCCACCTCATTTCTAAACAGAGGCCTATGTCCCGCAGTGGACTATTAAACGCTGTTGTTGATTAATTGCTAGATTCGTAAAAACGAATAATTACAACCTAAACATCCGAAGTTTACTAATTGTCACTGGAGAGTACCAACATCCAGATTCTATTTCATTATTGAGATCAGTTTCTAGATGCTGAATAATAGTATTGTTAGCCACACAAAGCCATGCCATTAGATGTGTTAGGTAGAAATAACTAACTATGTAAACTTATATTGGAAATGAATTTAAACCGGCTTCCTACCGTATAGTGTACTTGTTCCAATGAAGTCTCCAATCATAATATGGTTATACAGGTACGTGATCTTCAGGCCTATGCTAAATACTGTTTTCTCGGCATCTACATTGCGCCGACCCTAAATGAAATTCTGGAAAAGACAGTAAAATTGTGAATTATGGTTCACGTTCAAGTCTTGTAAAAAATCTATCACAATCTTCCCCGTAATTGTTACGTGCTTACCAAACACTTTTTTTAATACAACGTATAATTTAAATTTACAATCGACTGAGAGTCATTGATGGATGATTGCTCACAAAATATCGTGAAAAATGTTGCTAATGGAGCAAGGTGTCGATCTGATATAATATAATTGGCTGAACATGCGCATTAATGAATGTATAACCTTTTTATATTATTATTTACGTGCATAAAGAAAATAAATAAAGCAAAAAAAAATCAATTAATTCAAATTAATCATTTGAAATGCCTATCTATATGTCAGGATATTTATATTTTGTACAAAGTTGCAGCGTTTTAGATGATGTGTGTATAAACTTAAACTAACAGTACTAACGAAGGCAAAATATTTTTTCTTTTTTAATGCATTGTGTATGATATCATTTATTCGTTTTGTGTGATTTTCAACAGTTTAGCTGGAAATGTTGTTTCTTATTATTTTTTACCTTTGGTAATTAATACGCACATATTAGTCAGAAACATACCATAGCCATTTCAGAGTTCTTTTAAATAGTGACATTTAATTGAGACACGAGCGAATTTTTTTCAAACAACCATTAACCTATATTAAACTTGTTTATAATTCAAGAAAGTGGAATAATCTGGGAAGAACAAAAACAATCTTGCTAACACACAAATATTCAGACATTTCACCTACATAATACACATGTACCCAATCAAGAACAATTACAGAACCAGGTTATCCTGGTCATAATTGAAACATAACACGTACCTTACCTATCCCCAAAATTAATGGATTACATTAGTTTTGGGTATTATTTAGGGGTAAAACTCCACTTTGGGCTTAATTTTATTATGAAACGTTGTATGTAATTTATAATTCCAATTACTTACATGTTGTAGTACTAACTGTGACAATTATTGTTTGCTGTGCTATCGATTATTAAATATGTAACTATGTCTGAATTTTCATTATTAATAATATCGAATCGAGAAGATTAATTTAAAAGTAATTACTAAATAATGAATAGAATTCATTATAGTCGAATGATAACAGATGTAAGAGAGACCATAACTATCATTACTGTATTTAAAAACATTCACACTATCGATTAATATATTTTCATTGTAATTGTTCGATAGTCAATTGGTAATGTCCCAAAAAGATCTCTTTTCTATTAAAAATAACATCGATTTCATTTTAAAAGATAATAATATTATAGGGACACAATACAGAACTAGAGTATTGTTATATTACCTATTTTTATACACCTATACAATAAACTCGACGATAATAAATCTACTGCTTCGGTGGTGCAGTGGTAGCGTATACGACTGCTGTACTGAGGTCTCGGGTTCGATTCCAGGGTCGGACCAAATTATTGTGTGATCTGAAAATATGTTTCGGAGTTTGGGTTTGAGTATATATTATGTATTTACAAAAAAAAAGTATATAAGTATTATATCACAGTCAATCAAGCTTTCATAGTACAAGCTCTGCTTAGTTTGCGACTAGATGGCGTTGTGTGTCATTTGTCCGAAATACTATTATTATTATTAAAGGTCTCAAGTTACAAACGTAAGCTGTGATTTACTCATAATAGGTACATCATTCTAGACTGATTTATAACTGACAACTTAAACACTAAATATTATAGTAAATGTAAGGCATTCTACCTTATGCGCTTAGTAAAATAACCTGACTCACGTTTAATTTCTTAACGTCACATCTTATGTCAAAACTGCCATAAATAAAGCTATAAAGACATTTTTGTCATAGAATAAACGTGCAATATATACCTACCTATTTAGATAACGTTTCAAGGAAATTGGTAATTTAACAAATGCATTGCAGTATGTACCTATGCTTTTATATTTATTACTCATACATTCATAAATATTTATCTATATAAAACTATAGTATACTATGGACCTAAAATAGATATAAAACTATAGACCTTTATACTAATTTAATCTATGTAATTAATACTAATAATAGTTACCTCATACATCTCACACACGGCTACGCGGGTAACCAGACTGCTGATAAACATACTTATATATTTCTAAATACATACATATTGAAGATAAATTACACCCAGACACAGAACAAACGATGGTGCTCATCACACAAGTATTTGTCCTGGGTGTGATTGAATCCACGAACTCCGGCTTAGAAGTCAGGGTCACGAACCACTAGACCAACAGGCCCAACCAATTGATTTTTATTATTTAATATTTGTCCTCTGTATTCTTCTCTACTAGGATTTTCTCATAAATTATGTAAGGAAGGATTT